CCAAACTATGGTCCAGGGGCTAGATGCGGCCCCTTTGGCTATTTAAATTGGCCCGACAAACTGGTCTAAATTATATTATTCATTTATATTATCCTTATATTTATGCCTTTTCTCTGCAATGCCTGCATTTCCCCCATTACATGGTGCGTAAAATGCTAAAAGCATTTTAGCCTTTATGCGTGATATGTCATTTATCTTTAGTTTACATGAACACTCCATCTATCTGCTCCTGACCCGGCTCCCCCTGCAAATGACCCCCTGTGGCCTATACTTCACCACTCCATCAAGAATAAATTATAAAAAAAAAACCTTATATCCTGAATATACTGGCCTATAATTATCCAACTGGTAATAAAATAATTGAATAATATCAAATCAGAGGTTCATAACAAAGCTGACAGGAAAGAACACTTCTTCAAAGTCTTATACAACAGAGTGAAAAGGAACCGTGCAGGAATTCCTGCGTTTGTATACAAGACTCTAAATGTATCAGAGGCGGCGCCCTGCCCACCCATTCTGCATACCAGTGAGAGTGGCCACAGTACAATAGTGTAATTTCCGGACCTGGATGTTTCTCAAAGTCCAGGCTAAACTGCCCTGAGTGGGGCATTTGGCTGAGAGAACACAGACTTGTGTCTACAAAAAAAAAAACCTTATATCCTGAAGGAAAGAAAAAAAAAACCCGAAACAAAACAAAACCAAGAGCAGCTTTAGCCAGATCAAGTACTTGTGATGGACTGATAACTGTCCAAGGCGTATTCGGAATTCTCTGGTTGACTGCTGGGATTTGCTCCAGCTCCCACACAACCATGAAAAAATTCAATTCTAGAAAAGGGATGAAATTTACTTCTACTTCTCCAAAAAACAATTTCAACTAACTAAATAATTTAGTTTCACATTCTTACACACTTTAAGGCAAGCAAACATGTGACTGTTGGATGTTGGATGTTTAAATGTTGATTCTTGCCAATATATTATGAGCAAACATTTAAAAAAATAAATAATAAACAAAGAACTAAACTAAATAAGGCAACTTCCACTTATTGATCATAGAAATGATCATTTCCCCACACCATAAAAGATGAATAATGTGAGAATTTTCACATGAAGACCACCATCTTCCATCCATGTTTCTTCTACTGCAGTCTGACAAATCTCCATTACTGACCACTAAACTCAAAGATGCCATGAATCTAAACTTTTTCCTCCAGTATGAACTAAACTTTGAGCAGTCGTCCAGGCCTGAACATGTCTTACAGCAGTAACAACATAGAGGACAAAACACCCAAGAACAAAAACAAAAGGTTACTGTGGGTTTTTTTTTCTTTTTAAATATCATAAACACTTCAAAGTATTCAGTCAGCACTGCATGTAAATAGCCAACAACATAAGTCTAGTACTAATGCCTTTTTAGAGATCAAACATGAACACACAGGAACTATTTTTCTGTTTATGGTTCTGACAAAATAACAGGTGACACAAGCTCAAAGTCCACACTACTGTTTTTCAGGGGAAACAGGGTAAATGTGGGACTGACTCTCAGTGTGTGTTTGTTTTGAGGAGATCTAATGAAAGCAGACGACAAAGGTCACATGACTGCTTAAAATGTCACTGGTAGCTGTGAAGAATCCTGTTACATATACATTACAGGACCGCTCCAGTGTGTGTGTTTGTGTGTGTGTTTGGACATTGTGATCTTCAGGAAACACTAGACTCTGGGATCTGTTACAACCAGCCTGTAAATCTAAAGGCACGATCTTGTTAAGCTGGATCAGAACCTGTCAACTCCAAGAAAGCTAGCGCTAACGCTAAAGCCCAACTAACCACACTTGATAATTAAAACATTTAAATCATCACAACACGTGACACACACACACACTTCAACAGTGACTTTCCTGGACCAAGGTATGAGACTAAGACACAGTAAAGTATTTCAGCTTTATTAAAATGTAAAAGTAAGGTATGAGACTAAGACACAGTAAAGTGTTTCAGCTTTATTAAAATGTAAAAAGTGTAAAAAAACAAAACAAAACAAAGAAACCAAAGTGCTACTGCGATTAGCATAGCCTCAGGACGTCAGGACATCAGGTTTCAGAAAACTGTTGGCACAAAACACAGTTTGCTGCTGCAGCAAATACTGTGAAAAAAAAAACACTGACGAAACCAAAACCACCTTCTAAACACACACATCATTCTCACCATGACACTAAAAACCGTCTCCCGACACAAACCGTCACACAGAGCTTTTGCATATTTCATTTCCATATTCAAATACAAAAAACGAACTTTCTGACTACAGCCTCGTGTGAGCTGTGTTACCGTCTCAAACTCAAAGATTAGTAATCTGGTTTTTTTACTATGACTCCATGTTCAGTTCAAAAAGTACCACAGTTTGTTTCATGTACTTCCACGCAGTACAGCTCTGGATTTGTCAGCGCTCAGTCTCCATCAGCTGCTAGCACAGACAACCTGACCCCAAAACCCTTCTGTCTCAGCGTGGCACCAGGCCTGACTCCTCACGCTGACAACGCTGCTGGTCAATTATTCAGAGATGGTTCTGGCTTCTGTAAGTCGGTGGAACAAGCACCGTCCAGATAAGACAAAAAAAAACAAAACAAAAAAACTGCTGAACAGGTGTTTCATGATATGAATGCAAATGTCCTTCATTTGCATTTTCCTCAAGGTCACGATCAAACCTCTTCATCGGCCGTTCACCAGGATGAACTTAAACTCCTTGCACATCTAACAGCAGAACACAGGACAACACATAATTACTGTATGACGTGGTTCCATAGTGTAGCGGTTAGCACACCTGCTGCAAAAACAGCAGAACACAGGACAACACATAATTGATGTGGTTCCATAGTGTAGCGGGTAGCACACCTGCTGCAAAAAGCGAGTCCTGGGTTCAATTCCCAGAGGAACCACATGCTTGATAATGTTAATCCTCCTCTGTAAGTGGCTTTGGATAAAAGCGTCTGCTACATTAACATATTAGAACATTTATGTGTTTGATTGCAGATATATAATCCACACATTTGGTGTCAGGTAAAGCTTCATAAATGTCTTCCTCAATATCGATTGGAAAAATTATATTTTTATGTATTAATATGTAACAAAATGTTTCAATTTGTTCATAAATCCAAGCTGCAAATCGACCAAATAATTCACAGTTTTGGGATTAGCAACTGCCCTGTGCAAACACAGTTGACTGAGGTATTACTGGTGCTCAGCAGCCTTTAAATCTGCGGCGCTGTACACTTCCAACAATGTCGTCATGAAACTTTATTAATCCCAGCTGTGACTTATTCACATATTTAAGAACACCCACACAACACAACACAAGACGAAAGTTTAATTGTAGATTAAAACTACTTAGAGCCAACTTCTTCCAAGGCTAAGCTACATCAAGCTAAAGCTGCCGGCCCCGCCCCTTTGTTTCTTCTTCTTAAACAGCCTCACGTCACCTAAATTATAAAACATTAACATTTGGACGTAGGTCGCTTTACCACATCACTGCTCCCTGTTGCAATACTGCCACCTATAGAGGGTACAGTCCACCAAATAATGGAAACGACCCGCAGCAGACAGCGACCCTGCAGTTGAACACCATCATCTACGTAAATAAATATTCTTATTCGACCATACACTTACTTCACATTAACTAGACTGCAGTAAACCACAGGAAGTGCACACATGCTGCCAATGGAATGAGCACATGAGTTGCTATGGTAACAACAAAACGGTATGGTAATGCCAAATAATTGCTACCCACCCCCCCCCCTCAACACAAACCCCTATCTCTCCAGCACAGTGGCTCCACGGTTGTTACTAAGGAAACCTCTCCCACACAGTGGAGAGCGGAGCCCTCCAGCTACGGCTTCTTCTTCTTCTTCTACCAGTTCACACTGTTTACCTACAGCGTTCCTGCTAGAACCCGACAAACGTCACCTCCGTCAGGGACACACTGCAGGTGTCCTCCAGTGTCCACAGGCGGTTCCATTACAGACTGCAGACCTGTGGACATTTTAAAAACTAGCCGCAAAATGTAGATCAGTGTTACACAACGCATGGCTGACAGTGAAGTGCAACCTCTTCACACACACACACTCCATCACCCCCACACACACACTGCCACTTCCCCTCCACACTTCTGCTTTTCAGCCGTGTGTTTTTTTTCTACATATAATTTGCCGTACTATTCCCAGGCTCTGAACGAAACAACACCGTGATCTGATTGGTTGGTCAGAACCCCACAGCCGTATCACAGGTTCTGGTTCCGTACCTTCACTGTGTTCCTGGGCCTGCGGAAGAACGAGGTCTTGGCGGTGAAGAAAGTGATGTCTTCACACTCATCGTCCAGGCTGCAGTACCCACTACTCATGCTGTTACTGCTGGTCATGGAGGGGGTCATCACCGTACTGACGGTCATGGATCAGTCCAGCGGTGGCCTCCGGCACCAGGAGAGCAGCCCAGAGGCAGGGTGACGGCTTCAGGAAGTGTCGGTTTGCTTCAAAGGGCAAAAGTGACGCTGATGCTGAGCCGCAGATCAGAGTTCAACAGCTTCTCCCTGATCTCCACTCATCCAGATAAAGTCAGTGCTCGTCTGCCGCTGCATCCACGGAGTTGAGGTCCCACCTGTGACCTCCACACAGGTGAAGTCGGCTCAGATTCAGGGCTGTGCGTGCCACCGCAGAGGAGACCAGGAAATCGGAGATCGAGAGCAGACTTGTCACTTCCTCCTGACGCATGTGCACCAACGTGTGTCTATGAGTGTGTGTGTGTGTGTGTGTGCTCACAAGCTGTCACAAACACACACACAAGTCAAGTGATATATTCTCCCGGCCATTTGTTTTACTCATAACACACACAAACGTACACACTCCGGCCCGGCAGGTATTTCTCCAACACACACACAGAGTCAGGGAGTCAGTTTACAGGAGGGTTTCAAGTTAACCCTGCTCACCTGAGAGCAGCCACCAGACACGCAAACAAACGCTGACAGACGCACGGCTGCACTACCACATCCTGCTGACGAAAAAAAACACACGCTAGAATTAAAAGTTCACGTCGAGTCCTGGTTGCAGCAGCAGGTTGATGAGGATGGCGCTGGTGTTTCGCCGGCCTGTCGGCCCTTTAGTCCAGAGCAGCAGCAGCAGCAGCAGCAGCAGCAGCAGACCTCTGGTTTAACAGCAACACTGCACAGCCTCCTCTCTCCTCTGCTCTCAGTTGCTTTGTAAATACTGGAGAAGGATGCCTCCCACTCTCCCTTCTCTCTCTCTCTCTCTCTCTGTGTGTGTGCACACACTTTGCTCAGGCAATCTATTCTAGCCTTGCTCAACCATCTGTGTGTTATCACCCATGCAAGGACCCCCCCCCCATCGCTCCCTCCCTCCCTCCCTTCCTCCCTCCCCTTTCTCTCCCTTTTCCTGCAAGCAAGAATATGCCACAGCCACTTCCTCTTAGACAGAGAGAGAGAGAGAGAGAGGGAGAGAGAGAGAGGTGAGTAGACGTCAGTGCTGATTTACAGATATGAATCTGTGCAGCTCTTGGTTTACACAGAGTAGCAGCAGCAGGAAGCAGAGTCAGTGGGAAAATGGCTGCTTTCCTAGTCAAATTCTGCTGCCGTCGGTAAAGGACGAGAACTCACTACAGAGAAAAGAGTGTCATGTTTTTGGATACAACAAGATCCGCGTCCGACCCTAATAAAAATTCTATCTAAACCGAAGGCCAAATTATGGTAATTTGACTGAAGTTTTCACTGATTGAATGTCCATTTGTTTAGATAATCTAATTTGAATGATCCTCTTAGGTTATTTGGATAAACGACTATTTAATTGTTATTCAAAGTGGAATATTTGTGTCTTCAAGTTACCAGGCATTTATGATAACAAACAGATGTGGACTGCAGGCAGGCCAGTTAAGGGTACGCACCGTTATCACAATCACAGGCCTGCTGAAAAAAAGAAAAGAGACACCTGGTGGTTTCTCTCTCTAACTACAATACTGACAATGAGTTTTGCAAATTTCAACGACACCAGTCTGGATAGCCTTCTCTTCTCCATCTTATCTGTCTCACACTGAGAAATGTTTGGGTTTTGTTATTATAAACTTATCTGTCTCGCACTGAGAAATGTTTAGGTTTTTTTTATTTTAATTTGGCAGAAATTTCTTTCACAAAAGTTAAGCATGATCCTGGGAAACCTCTGAAATCTCGTCTTTGTCTTTTGGCCAACTGAAAACGCTTCAGCTAAACCATCACCCACCATGAGCGCTCGGAGGAGGCACGGAGGAAAATCTCCATCAGCATGGAGATTACGGTGACCTTTAACCTGAGGCTAACCATTCAATCTGCCCCCTGACTCTGGCAGTGACCTGCTGTCAAAATACAGCTAATGCTGAGAAGATGGATTGTGAATCAGGGATGCCCAAAAACCTAATTCATGCTTTGTAGATTTTCAAAATAAAAGCATAAACCAAAATGCCAAAATGGTGTTTGATTATTATTGCATACATTTCTTTGGATCACAAAGTCAATGAAAGACTCTGACTCAGTGTACACAGTCCTCTGGATGCAGCAGAGAGACTGGCCTTAACACAGGGTGTGTTTCTGTCCAGATAGAATCGTCCAGAAGACTGATTACCTGCTCTTTTCCTCCATCAGTGTAATCACCATGGGAGGAAACCAGTGTGTGTGTGTGTGTGTGTGTGTGTTGATGACTGGGGGTGGCTTGCAAACACACACACACATGCACACCGGCCTGCAGTTCTGCTTGCTTCTAATCAATGAAGCGTGGTCAGCCCGCTGCATGTTTACTGAGGCTGCAGCAGTAAGTCTGTGACCTCTACGACCCCGACACATGCACAGGACTACGAAGAAAAAAAAAAAAAAAACAGAATAAGAGGGTAGAGAGGGGGACTGCAGGAGAGGAGCCGCCCGCACCCCTCTTATCTGCAGCACTCAGTGCACTCTGGGGAGCAAACACAAGTGTAGAGAGAGGCCGGCCCTGGTCACGGAGCTCACTTTAGTTGGAGACAACATCAACATTCACTTCAGACTAATTTACAGCTCACGTCCACGACAGCAGAGCAGGAGGACGTCGACTGAAGACTGAAGTGTTTATTTGTGCTCATAATGGGCTGTAAGAGCCGCTGCCTTCTACTGGCACGACATGGTTCATACAGTTTATGTATCAGAGACGCAGCTGGATGGAACTGTTCATTTTAATTCATTGATTGAAGTCCAAATAACACGTTCAAATCAAATTAAAATGTTTTAATGATACCTTTCTTAGTTGCCGCATGTACAAAATTAAACAGTAGATGGCGGTAATGCACCTACAGGTTGTTTGACAGCCATGATAATGATGCACAGGATGCAAGGGAAGAAGTGATTTGTGTCGCTGGAGTTGTTGGGCAGAATTTTAGTTATTTATTTATTTAAAAAAAACCCCTTCCCAGTGTCAGCCTGTAGGGGGACATGGTTCATAATTAAAGTCTAAATGTACACTGTTAATGTGGGAAAAGTGTTGACGCAGTCACATGATAAAGTACAGCTGTGTTAGCATGACAGCAAACCAAGACTAAAAGACTATGATCATAGCACCACCTACAGGGGCGGAAGGGGAATACGTATACAAGAATTAGTTTGTTGGTTGTAAATAAACATACACACACATATATTAACACATATATGTGAGTGTGTACATATATATATGTATGTGTTTATGATTGAACCCAAACCATTAAACAATAAACATCTCTGTACTGGATGTTCTTTTTTTATAAGGTTGGGGGGTTTTTTTTCAACCTTCATTTACGATCCTGCTCATCATTAAACAGTAAAACAGACGCAGAGTGAACAGCACTCTAACATTTACACCGCTCATCCACCTCTGCTGCTTCCATTCACACCAGCTACGTTTAATGGCTTTTAAAGCAGCGTCGCTGTTGATGTTCACGCAGCCTCTGGCCAAGTGGTGCCTGGCACATCACCAGTGGTCCAGTTTGGTCATATCTGCCCCGGGGGCAGAGAGGAGCAGCCAACATTTGTCTGTAGGAGTGTTGGGGAGTATGATCTATGAATATTACACCGTTTATATTCCACTCTCTCAGGGTCCTTGAGTTACGATGCTGTGTGTGTGTGTGTGTTATACTATAACGTAGTATACACTGCGGCTCACGCATTATAGATGCGAGATAAATAGAATTACAAATGTGAATAAAAAATATTTTAAGCATGGTTAGAAAATTTTAACACAGCATTTCTGTGTTATTTGCTTTTGAATACTGAATCCCAATTATTTCCCAAAACTCCGTGGGTCGGAATAATTGACTGGAATAGTCAGTGTCTGAATTAGGCTTAAAAACAGAGTGAATAAAATCAGGCAAGTGAAAAATGCTAAAAAAAAAACATTCTTTTTTTGTGCAGAAAATAAACCTGTTTTGTGGTGTTAGTAATTGATCTTTGATATTTTAATAAAAAGAGCAGCAGATCAGACGTGGATGTGACGCAGCAGATTTTGTCCAGAGAACCTTCTGTGACAGAAAGGCAACACATGGAACAGACATCTGAGACAGCCGCGGGGCTGTGAAGGAGGACGGTGGTTATGTAACAAGTGTCGTTTGAAGACATGCTGCACGACGAACCCTGACATTGTCCAGACTTGACTCCTGTCTTCATGTAAACCTCGTTGTACATATGACATCACTCTAAATGATCATCATCTGTACAGAACATTCCTCTAAAAAAGTCTGTGTGGATGTTTTTGTTTTTCTCACCTTGCAGCAGACGTCTGAGGAGGAGGAGCGACTGCTTTTAGGAGATGGACTCTTTTCAGTCTCTCTGTCTCTTTGGTTGCAGTCCAGCCGGACCTTATGTTGACACTCCAGATGACAGGTGTAGCTGCAGTCTGTGTGAAAAACAAACAACAACAGTTGTTCAGACTGAACAGTGACAACACTTATTCTGAACAGTCATAAATAAATAACGTGAATATAATATGTTGTTGTTTCGTGTTGGAATGTAAAGCTGACAAACTGCAAGTGAGTGAGTTGGTTAGGAGTGGTTCCAGCTAAATTATAAACCGTGTCATAATATCCATAAGGAGACGAATTGCTCCATCTAGTGACCAATGTCGGCAATTGCACCATTTAACACCTTGAATACCTATTTGGGTCGAGTGCTGTAGGAAAATAAATTAAAAAATAAATAAAAATACGAAGATACACAAAACTTTTACAACATATTTGTTTTTAGCATATAAAAACACCTCTCAGTTTTTTTGGTTAAAGTTATGTACTTTCCCCTGAACTTCCTTAAATTCCCCACTGACTGACGAGCATGAATGTACTTCCACATTTAATATAATTTTGTTTCCAGCCACAGGCTTTTCCACTGAAATACTTCTGTAATATATACTGTGAATTTGAGATCCAATACCAAAAAAAAACAAAAACAACCTTTTCAATCAGACTGCACTTAGAGTAAAACCTAAATTCTTGGATCATGATGTAATAATGAGTCAAACTCAGACAAGAATCATTCTGTCCAAAAAATGTCCTGACTTTGGATAATGATATACAGAGTGATTGGTGACTAATATATATATATATATATTTTTAGGACCGTCTGGATATCTGTGACAGAGTCAGGTCTGATGAGAGAATATTTTTCTTTCCTCTTTGACAGCGGTTCTTGTGAAATAAAAATAACGTGTTCACTGTCAGCGTTGTACATCAACACTCTTCCCAGGCGTTACTCGCATCACGTTTCTCAGTATTGATAACATGTCTGTGTTTTCACAATAACATACTGTAGGTGTGTGTGTGTGTGTGTGTGTTGGGTGTTGGCTACTCAGAAATGGCCCTCCTCGTTGTTCAGATAAGACATTTTTGGAAAAGCAGATTTGAAAAGGTTTGAAGAACATAAGATCATTTGTCTGGTCCACACCTACAGTGAGAAACACCAGGCTTTTCTCACACTGATAACAGTCACTGTTTCCCTCTGTTCACTGATGAACATGAACACATCAATATATAAATGACGACTTATACAATAACAGATGTTCAAGAATTCTGTATTTTGTGTTTGTTTTGTTTTGTAATTTTAAAATAGCCACATAATGTGAAGGAAGACATATCAGACTACACTGTGTGTCCAATTCATGGGGAATAGATTCGTCCAATCACTCGCTCAGCCTTCTAACCCAAAAGTTCAAAAGAACTTTGATACAAAAAGGTCAAAAAGTTAAAATTTTACAATTTTATT